CCTACCCTTGCTGCTGTTACCTTCGGCTTCTTCCTGCGTACTCCTCTCAGACCTCCTTCCCCATCCCTCCTCGGGGGTTGGCCCTTCTTCCGGAGCTGGGACCCCCTGGGGCGCATTCTCCCTCTTGCGCTTTTTCCTCCCCTCCTTTCTGCTCCCAGAGGGTGACGTCAGATGTTCTCCCTGCAGCCCCCCGGCGGTATAAGCAGCCTACACCTGTCCAGCGAGGCTTCTTGGTCCTTAGGCCTGGCTCTCCCTCCAGATGCAACCTTAGCTGACCCCTCCAACCCACGTTGACCCCCTCATGTGCCGAGGTACACACCCCACTGCAGGGGCTGAGGTGTGTATCTTCCCACCAATCGACGGCTCTTGAATTTTTTCAGGCAATCAAAGAACATGAAGAGAGGAATTCCTCATTTTTTGTGGACAAATCTCCACAGACCAAACAGCCCCTCTACTTTCACACAGAGTATGCCGTGTCCTGCCTTCCAGAAGCAGAGATCACACCCTGGGTAAGTGACATGACCAAGGCTGGGTCTTCACTAGAAATGCTGCCACTGCACTTCAGTGTAGAAACTTACCACAGTGTCTGGGAGTTACCTCGCCCAGCAGTGAGGTCAGTGGAAGAACTGTTCTGCCAACCTAGCACTGCCTACATCAGGGATTAGATCAGCTTCGCTATGTTGCTTGGGGGGAGATTTTTTTACACCCTTGAGCAGCGTAGCTGGGTCAAGCTAATTTTTTAGTACAGACTTAGAACATAAGAACGGCCGTACTGGGTCAGTCCAAAGGTCCATCTAGCCCAGTATCCTGTCTGCCGACAGTGGCCAGCACCAGGTGCCCCAGAGAGGGTGGACTGAAGACAATGATCGAGCGATTTGTCTCCTGCCATCTCTCTCCAGCCCCTGACAAACAGAGGCCAAGGACACCATTTCTATCCCCTGGCTAATAGCCTTTTATGGACCTAACCTCCATGAAATTATCTAGCTTCATAAGACTTGGCCTTATGTCTTCTGAGGTCCATATTTGCCCAGCTAGGAACTACCTGGTTGGAGGTGTTGATCTAATTAGCCACAAATTGTAGTATTGGCAAATCTCCGCTCATACAGACAGACACACCCTGCACGCCCCACATTGTCACCATCCTGGGAAGAAACACTGAGTGGGAACCTATAGAGTCAGAGCCCATTGGAAAGAGCTAGGACTAAACTAGGCAGGTCTGTGGGGGGAGGGGAGATCATGGTGGGGATGTCCCACACACAAAGGGGAAAGCTGAACTTCTTTGGACAGACACGGACGGAAAAGGGCGCAGCTGCATGGCTGTGAAACAAGTGCCGTGCCCCACCCCAGAGACAGCTGCATGTCAGTGCAGGGTGATTGATTCCTGCTCAGTTTGGGATTGAAGCTCTAACGGCAGGACGTGAGAGATACGAATATAATTCAGTAACCCCTCATGGAGATGGCAAAGCTGCCTGGTGCGTCTGGCCGGCCCACCGATGAGGACTCACACGTGTCCTTTGTTCCTGCCCTGCTGGCTCAGATGAGGTCACCCCTTGTGTCCGCCTCAGATACTGACGTTTTCCTATACGAGCCAAGAGAAGCGACAGCCCTTCATTGAGGTCTACATCGAGGAGATGAAGAGGAGTGTGCAGCTCAGAGTGGGTGACAGAGACTCTGCTGAGCCGTGCTGGGAGGCTACTCTGAGACCAGGTGGGCCACCGTATTCACTCATGGGGGTACGTAAAATCCTCTCCCAGTTCCTGGCCAGGTATTTCATGAGTAGTGAACCCCCCACCCAACTCACTAGACCAGTGACGATCCACAGCTACAATGTCTCCCATGGGGCTTTTATTACGAACTCACAAAGCACTAGGGATGTGCAGGCAGATCGATGGGGCTTTTATTACCAGCCCACAAAGCACTAGGGATGTGCAGGCAGATCCTGGCTTTAGGAAGGGCTCTGAGGACGTGCGACACCTTTGTAAGATCAGGGGCTCTGCTACTCAGAAGTTTCAGCCCCGTAGAGCGCTACAGCCCTCCAGCACGCAGGTGAGTTCTGCAGAACACTGACGCACCTGGGCACTGCTATTGGGCCGTGGGCGTCTGGGGCAACTTGCCCTCACCTGACGCCAGATCAGCGTGTGTGCTTTTACACTCCACAGCTGAGTAGTCTGGGGGTGAGGAGGGGCCCAGGCCAGCTGTCTGAAAGAGCAGAGGCAATGCCAGGCTGGACCAGCCCAGGGGATCTGTCAAGTTTGGTATCTGAGCATAGTCACGGGGCGCAGCCAGAAACAGATGCTCCAGAGGGAGGGGCCAAAGAGGTGAAATCTAAGCAGGTCGTTAACTATTGTATTATCCTCATCAATAATCAAAGTCATGTGGCTCCAATAGCCAATAAGACCGGACTTAGTGTAACAGGAGAGACATGAACAGAACAGTGTGCTGATCCATTTTTTTCACCCTTTTTTCCTCTTTCAGGAGATGTTGAACTTACTGGGTCAGGAAAACACCGCATAGGTAAGTTCACTGGAGATATTTAAGAGCAGATTAGGCAGAGACCTGTCAGGGATGACCTAGATGGTGCTTGGTCCTGCCGTGAGGGCAGGGGACTGAACTTGATGACCTCTCGAGGTCCCTTCCCGTTCTAGTGCACTAGGATTCTCCTTCAAGTGAGTGTGCACTGGTACAATCCATCGACTGCATTGTATGCCCAGTGCATGTGAGTCAGAGACTTTCGCCAGCATCACACTAGATAGCGCACGCACCCTGGCTCCTTCCACTCTTAGCTGAGGCCATAGAAGGAAAGTGTATGTTACTCACTGGCCCCATGGGGACATCGTCCGAGCATCCTGCAGCATCTGCTTCACTTAGCTAGTGTTCCAAAAGTCCTATGGGGCAGGGGAGGGTGGAGCGGGGCAGGAAGAAGTAGGGCAAAGCCTGCAGTGAAGAGAATTGCCCCAGCTGGACATTTTGGCTCCGTCTACACTACAAGGTTTTTGTGCCAAAAGCTGCGAAGCATCCATACCTCAAGCGTGTTCTTGCGCAAGTAAATCAGCAGAAGAGAGGGCTTTGGCTGGTAGAGTTATTCCTTTCTCCACCAGGTAGAACTCCTTTTTGCAAAGGAGTTCTTGTGCAAAAAGGCAGGTGTGTATGCTCCGCAGAAACCCCCGTTGGGAAAAGCACAGGTGCTCTGATGGCCATTCTGTGAATTGGCCATCCGTGCTTTCTTGAGCAAGAGAGTCCATGCAGTGTGGACGCTCCATGGTGCAAGAGTGCATCGCTTTTGCAGTGCGCTTAGAGGTGGGGATGCGCAAACTTTTGCGCAAAAGGCTTCTTCCGCAAAAACCATGCAGCGTAGATGAAGCCTTGGATGATTAGTGGGAGGCCATATTTCTTGGTCACTTTGTGCATATGCAGTAAAATCAATGCTTATTGACGTTGACTAATTAAATAAAATTGAATCCTTCCAAGCCTAATAATAGACCACAAAACAAGAAACAGACTCCACCCACACTAGCTGGTCAGGTTTCACCCGACTTCTACACAGAGACCCCGGCAATTTCTTCTCCTTCCAGCCCATCCAGCAGGGTTTTGCCTTTCTTGGTCAGCATCTCATGTCAGTTTCTGGATCAAAATCTGGGCCTTCCCAGTCACTTGTGGTGGACCCTTTGTACCAAACTTTAGAACATAAGAACGGCCGTACTGGGTCAGATCAAAGGTCCATCTAGCCCAGTAGCCTGTCTGCTGACAGTGGCCAGCACCAGGTGCCCCAGAGAGGGTGGACCGAAGACAATGATCAAGCAATTTGTCTCCTGCCATCCCTCTCCAGCCTCTGACAAACAGGGACACCAATTTTATCCCCTGGCTAATAGCCTTTTCTGGACCTAACCTCCATGAAATTATCTAGCTCTTTTTTGAACTCTGTTATAGTCCTAGCCTTCACAACCTTCTCAGGCAAGGAGTTCCACAGGACTCCTTGTGGTTATTGTGTGGTTTCTTGAAGCCAGTCTGTCCCAGTCCATGAAATTCCCCCAGGTGGCGGGACTTCTCTGGAGATGTACTTGTCCCACCCTTTGAGAGAGATCGTCGCCACTGAATCGATTTCTTTTGCAAAGCTCAGTCACCCTTGAGGTAGAAGCGAGTTCCGAGTTCATGCGGATGCCTATAAGACTTACATGACTGACTAATTCTGGTGTCTGCAGCATTTGGTGCAGTTCGGTATCATCGTCCTAAAGTGTCCATCTTTCCAAGGCCTCACATCTGCCATGGGAGGTACCCGGGGGAAGGGGCAGCAGAGGTGTGAGGTGAGAAGGGGGTCAGAGGGAAAGGGAGGGCCGGGAGATGGGATCAGTGGCAGAGGAGGGAGATGCAAGAGGGAAGGGAGAGAGTCGGGGAAAGAAGGCAAACGGGGCATGGTACCCGGGTGGGGAGTGAGGGACTGGACTTTGCTGGCCCATGTTCTAGGAGGCGGCCGGAGGAAGACAAAGAGAGATCATCTCCTGGGCGCCCTGAAAGACCTGCGAGAGGCTGAGCTGAAGGAGTTCAAGAGCAAGCTGATGGACATGGAGCTGGAGGGACACCACACACACATAGCTCGAGGGGACCTGGAGAAGGCAGGGCCCGTGGAGATCATGGAGCTGTTGATTTGTCACTACACAGAGCGCGATGCAGTGGAGGTCACCAGGAAGGTGCTGGATGCCATCAACCAGAGAGACCTGGCAGAGAAGCTCTGCAGAAGATCGCGGGCGGCTGGGAACGAGCCCGTGGGAGAAGATCAGCCTCCGCTCTCCAGGGGATTCCCCTGCCTCTCCGCCTCTGCTTTCCCGTCACATTCACAGAGCTGAGCACCAGCCTAGCCAGGAAGCCCGGGATTCCAAGGCCAGAAGGGACCACTGTGGTCACCCACGCCAGAGACCCAGTGGCTCCTGGGTGGACATCAGTCGGACAGTCAGTCGTCCATAAGTCAAGCTCGGCTGTTTCTGCCTGGGCTCCCTGCCCAGAGAGAGGTGATGGCTGGAGGCCTGGGACCTCCAAGACATCTCTAGAGCAGACCATGCTGGCTGCCGAAGGTGTAGTTACCATGTAATCTCTCTTTTTATATTTAAGCAGCAATAATTACACCACTGAATTTGAAAAAGTTTCTTCAGTATAAGCTTGTTGTGGGCCAAATAACACCCCCATTTCTCTGGTAAGCCTGGACATTTCACCAACCCACAATGATCCAGTTTCTAATCCTCTCTCTGCTGTGACCCACTCCCTTGTAACTCCAAATGTTTTTGTGATCCATGTAAGAGATCAATCCTTTTAAAATCTGGCTCAGCCTTGGGTCTCAACTGCATCACGTGGCAGGGAGTTCCGCAAGTTATTGTCACACGAAAGAGAACAGAACATTCACTCCCTCTGAGAGATTATGAGGCGAGATTAGAATATGTGACCACTTCAGTGCCAATGACGAGACGTTCCACGATTTCACTTTGATTGAATGACAGTCAGTAAGAAACTTGGGGGGGGCAATTAATGGGAAGACCAAAGTCAGAAAGTGCCAGGACCAGTTAGAAACAGATGGAGATGGTCCCTGCCTCAGAGAGCTTATAATGTAACAGGACGAGGCTGAACCCAGCAGTAAAGTAGGTCTCATACGTTCCTAGAGAAGGTTGCAAGGTGGAGACGTCCGAGCTATTAGGCAGAGAGACAACACAGATAAGAGACAGTATTCGTAAGTCGTGCCATGGACCCTGCTAAACTGTCATCGCTAGGCAGTTTCCACGGGGGGAGCAGGGTACAAGGGGGTGTAAAGGAGGGACAGGAAAGGGAACCGGGGGGTTAGTGGCGGGGGCATTGCGTAGGGGGAGAGCACTCGAGGCATAAGGAGCAGCATGGCGGACGGTGTGAGCGCGCTTGCGGGCATAGCGGGCCGTGCAGGTGGACAGTGAGGAATGAAGGGTCACAGGGGGGTGAAATGAGCCATTTATTTACCCCCTCCCCCGCCTCCAAGTGCATTTGAGGCCCCCTCAGGCCTGCTTTTAACAGCACAGACCATTTCCGTACTTTGCAAGCCCTGTTACGAGGGCACCGCCCGTCTCCCCGTTCCTGTCAGTGGATTCCTGCCGAGGGAGCAGGCGGGAAGGCGAGTTTGGCCCTACACACGCCTGCTGCCCTCCACGCAAACAGCCATCTCCTGCACCCCACTCCAGGCTGCCGGAAGTAAAATGTAACCTCCCCCTCATCAGTGTTGCCTAAGCCCTGCGCCAACTGTGTCCAGTATTTTTGTTGAAACCATCTGGCAACCCTAGAAGAAATCTCAGGGGCAGACCCCAACGTGGGCCCCCGATGTGTCCTCCCCACCCAGTGCACACTAGCTGGATTCTGGATCTACTGCTGGACCAGAGAGTCCTGAGCACCATCCTTCAGTGAGCAGAGTATCCTGCAAAAGACCCCAGTCTATTTATCTCGACAAAGAGAAGGTTAAAGGGCGACTTGATCACAGTCGGTAAGTAACTAGACAGGGGCAAGTGGGATCTTCAAGTTAGTGGACAAAGATCTAATATGTTCCAATGTCTGGAATTTGAAACTAGACAAATTCAGAGTGGAAATAAAGTGTACGTCTTTGAACAGGGATGGTAATTAGCTGTTGAAACAATTTGCCAAGGGTCATGGTGGATTCTCCATCGCTGATGATTTTAAAATCAGGAATAGCTATTTCTCTAAAAGATCTGCTCTCGTTCAAACAGGAATTAATTCATTTTAGGGAGGCAGCATGGCTTGGGTTATACATGAGTTCAGACGGGATAATCACAATGTTTCCTTCTGGCCTTGGTCTCTCTGAAACACTAGATACAGCAAAGAAGGTTCAAGAAGAGATTACAATGCAGAGGGGTAGCTGGCTCTGCCTTGGGAGGGGATAGCATTAAGAACTGGGTCAAGAGAATGGTCCTGCAGCATCGTAGAGAGAAACAAAAAATGCAGATGGTATCATGAGCTTTGGTGGGCACAACCCACTTCTTCACTGAGAGAGACTTTTAAGGGATGTGACAAACAGTCTGGACTATTTTTACCCATCAAAAGATGTAGCTTCTTAAACATAAAGGCTACGTCTACACTGGCCCCTTTTCCGAAAGGGGCATGTTAATTTCACAGGTCGTAATAGGGAAATCCGCGGGGGATTTAAATATCCCCCGCGGCATTTATTCAAAGTAGGAATAAGATCCTCCGGAAAAGGGCTTTTTTTCCGGAGGATCGGGGCCAGTGTAGACGCTCTTTTCCGGCTTTTCTAAAAGCCGGAAAAAAGCGGCGGACATTTTTATTTAAATGCCGCGGGGGATATTTAAATCCCCCGCGGATTTCCCTGTTACGACCTGTCAAATTAACATGCCCCTTTCGGAAAAGGGGCCAGTGTAGACGTAGCCAGAATGTCAAGTTCAGCTGTGGCAGTGTCCGATGGCAGAAAGTTTTTTGTCTTTACATTTAGAACAGTAGGTTCTATGTGTAAGTGTCAGTTTTTAAATTTCTCTCTCCATTTCCTTGTATCTGCTTCTTTTCTCTGTGCTCTCTTGTTCTCTGATCTCTCTCTCCCCTTCTTGCTGTCTTCCCTCCTTCTCGTTATCTTTTTCTCACACCAGATGGGTGGAGTCTACACTGGCACTTTTGTCTATAACTTTTGTCAGAAGTGGGGACAACCTGACGGACAAAAGTTTCGCCCACAGAAGTGCCAGGGCCTGGGTTGCTCATTGGGAGTGATTTAATTATGCTGGCAGGAGAGCTCTCTCCCGCAGGCACAGAGTGGTTAGCAAAGATCTTACAACGCAAAGCTGCCGTACGGTGTAAGATCCATAGTGAGGACATAGCCAGAGGCTTGGTCTACTCAAAGATTTTATGGGCTTATAGCTGTTTCAGTTAGGAAGCTGATTTTTTTTTAACCAAAACAGCTATCCTGGTACAACCTGTAGTGTGGATGTGATAGCTTTTCCCCTCCCATACAGAAATAAACTCTACCACTACGATTGCCTTTCTACTGGTAAAATCTGTCCAGCACCAGTGGAGTTTAATACACAGTGTAGTTAGAAAGGTACATAGGTCTAGAGAACATGAGCGATGAAAGAAGACTGAAAGAATTGGGCTTGTTTAGCTTGGAAAAGAGAAGATTGAGTGGGGACATCATAGTGGTTTTCAGGTATCTAAAAGGGTGTCACAAGGAGGAGGGAGAAAAATTGTTCTTCCTGGACTCTGAGGATAGAACAAGAAGCAATGGGCTTAAACTACAGCAAGGGAGGTTTCAGTTGGACATTAGCAAAAAGTTCCTAATTGTCAGGGTAGTTAAACACTGGAATAAATTGCCCAGGGAGGTTCTGGCATCCCCATCTCTGGAGATATTTAAGAGTAGGTTAGATAAATGTCTATCAGGGGTGGTCTACAGTACTGGTCCCTGCCATGAGGGCAGGGGACTGGACTCGATGACCTCTCGAGGTCCCTTTCAGTCCTAGTATTCTATAACTTTTGTGTGTGAACAAGTCATAGTGTATTCCCCGCATGGGTGCAGTCCTGGTAGCTGGAGGGAAAACTCCTTCACATCACCATCCCCTGCCAACGTGCTTCGACCTGCCCCAGACACCTGACACTCCTGTGTATCCTGCAGACTGGGCGCATGCAGCGTGCGCTTCTCACACTCACACACACCATTCACACACACAAATACACAGTCTAATATTCCCTCTCTTCCTTTCCATCCACGTGCCGATTTTTTTCCATCCACATGTGCAATACATTTTTACACGCACCAAGGTCTGGGCCAAGGTACGCTACTAATAGAAACCAAACCCCTAGCACTGTGCAAATCAACTGGGCAGCACTAGAATTTCTCCTGAGCAGCCGCAGAAGTGCCCAGCTGACAGGGAACACTGACGGTGCCCCGAAAGTCCATCTCTGCAGCCCGCTCCGCCCT